AAGAACAAGGAAGGCCCCTGTCCTCCAGGGCCACCGACAGTGGGTGAGACAGAGAGCAGCCATTTGTACTGCAGAGTGATCAGTGTCCTGGTAGGACAGCTCACAGGGCTGTGGTGTCACTTAACCCAGCTGGGTGGGGGTTGGGAAGGAGGCAGCGCCCTAAAAGAGACCTTAGCTGGACAACAGAGAATGGGATGGTGTGGCAGGCCTGCTCGCCTGGGTCTGAGGCTTGCTTCACTCACTCACTCACTCACTCACTCACTCACTCACTCATTCACTCACTCACTCTCTCACTCACTCATTCACTCACTCATTCACTCTCTCACTCATTCTCTCACTCACTTATTCTCTTACTCACTCATTCACTCACTCATTCACTCTCTCACTCATTCTCTCACTCACTTATTCTCTTACTCACTCACTCATTCACTCACTCACTCATTCTCTCACTCACTCATTCACTCATTCACTCACTCATTCACTCACTCACTCATTCTCTCACTCACTCATTCACTCACTCATTCACTCTCACTCATTCTCTCACTCACTTATTCTCTCACTCACTCACTCATTCACTCACTCACTCATTCACTCACTCACTCACTCATTCACTCACTCACTGATTCACTCATTCTCTCTCTCACTCATTCACTCACTCACTCATTCACTCACTCATTCTCTCACTCACTCATTCACTCACTCACTCACTCACTCGTTCTCTCACTCACTCGTTCTCTCACTCACTCACTCATTCACTCACTCACTCATTCACTCACTCACTCATTCACTCATTCATTCATTCACTCACTCGCTCATTCACTCATTCACTCATTCACTCACTCATTCTCTCATTCTCAGGCTCTCTCATTCTTTCATTCACTCATTCATTCTCTTACTCACCCGCTCATTCTCTCACTCACTCACTCACTCATTCACTCCACAGGTACATTTTTCTGCCTGACCCTGAGTCCGTATTGTTGGTTCAGCAGTAACTAAGAGATAGCATCTTTCCTTCAAGAAGATTGGAGTGGGACCACCTGCAGCAGGAGTTTGGGCATTCTGGGAGCTGGGCGAGTCCTCAGGCATCTCTTGGAGATAAGAACAGAGTTCTGGTATTTTCTTAGGGGATCTTGGGCCTGCCTTCCTGGAGCGCCTAGGCAGCAGGGGAAGCTGGGGCTCTGGGGCTGCTGGCCCCAGGACAGGCTGGTCTCACCAGAGAATAGACCAAACACAATAGCTCGATTGTAAGAGGTTGCCTGCGCCCTTCCCCCCGCCCCCCACCCCCCACTCACGCACGAACACTTTTGTGATCAGAATGTCTTCCAGTGATGTACACATGTAACGGGACATTGTAATGTTTTACAGAGTTTACCATTTTATGATGTTTTACAGCATTACAATGTAATATTTACAGTGTCTCCCCTCCAAAGCTGTTATTAAATTAGTCATATGGCTTACACTCAAAGTAAGAGAATTAGGATTTTGTCATAGAAACTGCCGTCAGAATGAGGTTCTGATGTGACCTATCACCACAAACTCCAAGCTGCCAGTGGCTGAATAACCCTTCTATTTGGGGTGTTTTATATAAATTTACAGAAAAGAAATGCTATTCAATGAATTGATTCATTCTTGAGATTTCCACAGCGTGTGTGTCCAGGACGTCAGCGGGATAGGGCAGAATGAGCCCAGATCTGGGTTCGCATCCTGGCCTTGTGGCCTACCATGGGGAGACCTAGGTAGAGGCGCTGCATGCACCCCCGAGCCTCAGTTTCCTCCTCAGTAAAGTGGGGCTGCACTGCCCATCGTGCAGGACCCTCTTGGTGCCAAAAGTCTCTACAACCTTCCTGCTGCTGCGTGTCTGTGTCATTACTGTCTTTACCTTCCACCTCCTCCTCCCACTGGGCTGTGGGCACAAGAAACAGAGCCCCTCCCCATCCGCCTGTTGTACACTGAGATTGTGCCGAATGGAATGAGCTGGGATTAAGAGAGAGGCCAGAGCTGAGTGTACCTGCTGCACTCTGTTACGTTCGTTCTAATGTAGCTACCAGGGCTACCTCTCATGGCTTCTGAGGAATCGCTCGGGTGTGGCCCAGTGTAGACCCTGAGGACCTGCACTCTGACTCAGCAGGCCGTGGAGTCTCCAGGTACAAGTGCAGGCAGCACAAGGAGGCTCCGCTCCACAGAGCTGGTGCCCGAGTTCTGTGGTGCCGACCTGGGGGTGCCGACAGCGGTGCAGAGCTCCAAGTACGTGGGTTTCTGAAGTCAGACAGCTGGCCAGGAACCCAGTCCCGTCTCTTTCTGGCCGAGTTAGGGCAGGCAGGCTGTGGGGCTCTGCTGAGGCTCATCTGTAAGAGGGTGGCAGTAACGCCTGTTCTGTCTCAGAGGCAGGCTTCTGTGACAAGCACGTGGTTTGCAGATGGCCCGTGCAGCATTCTACAGGACATCAACCCAAACAGATGCAGCTGCTGAGGGCCGTGGGCGGGGACCCAATGACAAGGTCAGGAAAAAAGTCAAGACACCTTGAACAGGGCAGAAGAGTAGGGAAAGGTATGGACTTTGAAGCCAGACTGAGCAGGGGTCAAGTTCTACATAATGCTCAACTGTGTGACCTTGGGCAAGTTACTTACCCTTTCTTAGCCCTAGTTTTGTCATCTCTAGAATGGGATGCTAAAACCAGCACCTGCTCCCTGGGGTTCTGGTGAGGATGAAATAAAGATGATTCCTGTGCCTTCCTTAGCTCAGCGGGCACCTAACACACCGTCGTGCGCGGAGCAGCTCCGCCCTGCTCATGAGCTTGCCATCGCACCACGCAGGGCCCCCCGGGCCACAAACTTCACATGTTTTGGTCTGTTCTGCCTTTATTGACTGATGACTAACCCCATTTTTGTTTGCCAGCCCTGTGAAGTCAGTCAGAGCCTTTGCTTGGCCCAGGCTGCCCAGAGAGCCCAGTGAGCGGCCCCGGTTCCAGGCAGGGGCCTCCACCATCCCAGAGGCCTTGTGCTGGAGGAGCCAATATTTAACGTCAGCTTTTCAGAATGCTTCCAGGAGTTCAGGGAGCCCACTGAGACCTCTGGGGCCACAGGAGAGAAGTTGCTGTCTTGGGCTAAGATGCACCAGTGTCGGCTGGTGCAAGACCCACCAGGCTTGGCCACCATGTGGTCAGACTTAGTGATGGGGTAGGGGGTGGTTTGGGGCAGGGGTCTTTGCCTCTTCTTGTGCAACTCCAGGACAACCTGGCACTGGTCCTCCCATTTCAGGGGCCTCCTGTGGCACAGAGGTAGCTCACTTTCCTTCCCTACTGTGGTTCCAGCAGGGAGACCGACAGGCAGATGAAGAGTGCCCACGTGGGTGTAGAATGCTGTACTGCAGGCTGGTGTTGGGAACACCACATTCCTTTTGTCACCCCCAGTGTGGACTTCCAGGGCCTGGGCATGCTACAGGTCGTCCCACACATAAATCCCTCTCAGGCCTGGTGGATTTTCTGATGCCCTGGTGGTGTGCCAGAAGAGAGTGTGGGCCCCTGCCTCTCCTCTGTGAGTCTGGGAGTCCATAACAAGCAGTGACTAATATTTTCTGCAGGTTTGCCACATACCAGGCACTGGCGTTGAGACCTTCCTGAGCATGACCACGCATGACCCTCCTAGAAAGCAGTGGAATGAGGTTCAGAGAACTGGGTTCAAGTGCTGGGACTGCCACTTACTACCACATGGCCTCAGGCACAATCACTTACCCTCTGTGCCTCAGTTTCCTGCCTGTAAAAGGGTGATGAATAGCAGTGCATAGGTTCCAGGGTGGTCAGGAGGGTTGGTGAGCACCGGGGTCAGGGTACATGCAGTGTAAATGTTAGCTGTTACTAAGAGATTGGCGCTGTTATCATCCTGTTTCACAGAGAAGGAAACTCTGTTTCACAGAGAAGGGGCTAAGAGGGAAGAGCTAGGGTTTGAACCCAGCCAGTGAGTGCTACTTCCCGAACCTCAGTTTAGAAAAGCACACACGGGGGGCTCTTGGCCAGCCTCGGAACCGGCGTCCTCCATTCACTTTCCTCGGAGCCCCAATGAAAGGGGGCTTTTCGCTAAGTGACTGGCCGGTCTCTGGGGGCCGTTGTAACCCCACAACAGAGGAGCGGCTGACCCGTGACACACATGTCATAGGAGGAGGGGGAGGAGTCAGGGAAGCATTTCTGTTTCGTAATGTTATCTAACACCAAGTGCTTTCAAGGGACTCGGAATGTGGAGCCTGTGCTGTCCCCCGCCCATTGCCGATCCTCCCCTGTCTCCCAGCCACATCCAGCCCGAGCAAAACCATGGTGCCTGGGCCATCGTCCCATGTGAGGGGAGACTGGGTGTCCTTGGACACACAGAGAGAGCCAGGGCAGTGCAGGTCCCTGGCTGGCAGGCCCCTTCCAGCACTGTAGCCCCTCGCCACTCGCCTGCCCAGCTCAGGGGTGAGCCCTGGCTGCTCAGCTCCAGGGAACTCAATGAACAAGGACTCCCAGCTCCCACAGGACAGGCTTTGCTTTTTCTTTTGCCTGGGTGTCCCCCCTAGCCCAGGTGTAGAGCAATTCCAAACTTAAAACCCCTTCCCGGATGTTCAGCTGCCCCTGGCATCTGCAACGCCCCAGCCTACCGGCCCCTCGGGCACACACCTACACAGAGTGTGCACTCATGCACACACCCCCAGCCCGGGCTGGCCCAGGAGCTGCAGCCGGCCCCCAAAGGCTCTTTGTCTGCAGAGGAGGAGGGTGGCTGCCTGATGAAGCCTCGGAACCCCAGCCCCTGATCTCACGCCCAGAGCACCACCCTCTGCCCCAGCATCTACTGGTCCTGCCCCAGCTCACTCTATGTTTGGTTCCCAGTGAAAGCAGGAGTGACCCCCTCTGCAATCCAGCTGCACACGCACCCCAGCTGGCGGGGCCAGAATTCTTGAGCACCAAGACATGGGGCCAGCCAGCTGCTGCCTCTTGCCTCCTGTCCCTCTGTGCCACCAAGCTAGCTCCTTACCTCTTCCCTCCTGCTTGGCTTCTGGGGCAGCTCCTCACATGCTTCCCTTTGGCCGTCAGCAAAGTAGCCTGTCCATGGCCTCCAGGAGGGGTCCTTGAGTCACAGGCTTGCCTGGCTACCCAGCAGCCCTGCCTCACTGGCCTCTGCCGGTTCTGTTCCTCCTGCACAGCAGAGCTCCGCCGGCCTGGGGTGGGGGCTGGCCGGCAGTCCTGCGGGGCTGCTCACAACCTGCCTCCTCTTGGGATGGGAGCCGGCAGCTGCCTCGGGGCCATGCTCTGCAGGTCTGGGCTCGGGCAGTACAGCTCAGGGCTCGGTCCGTCCGCAGCTCAGGCCGTCTGCTGCAGCCTCATTTGAACTCCCAACTCCTTTGTGGAGCCTTTACATGCCGCCCGCCGGAGGAAACTGTGAGCGCAGCCTGACCCTGGTTGGCTGTAGGCACTTCTCTCCACCCACCAATGCAAGAGGATCCCCCAGGCCCCAGAAAGGCTCTGGGCCTCCCCTCAGCCCCAGACAGAGGCGGGCCGCCCGGTGATGTCACACTAGCTCCGGCCCCAGCTGGCCTGGCCCCTCCCGCCCCAGCCTGCTTTGGCGGCTTCAGCGGCCCCCTCCTTCCTTGGCACCAGCCACCTGGCCAGCTCTGCTCCCTGGCCCGCCCGCTCTCCAGAGCCCAGGCAGCTCCTGGTTCGCTCCGAAAGGCAAACAGCTTTCCCTCTGACTCAGGTAAGGGGTTGAGGTCTGCTCCAGCTGTGCAGGCAACTGTGTGCAACCTGCAGGGAGCAGGGTCCTCCCCCAGCACTGCCCCATAGAGCCAGGTGGGCAGGCAGGGCAGCCCCCTGCAGATGGCCTTCCTGCAGCCTCCCTCCCACCGCTAAACCCCGGGGAAGGGAGCCCAAGGATGTTTGCACAGAAGCCAGGAACATCTGTGCCGTGAAAGAGCAGGAGGCAGGAGCCCAGGGCAGTGGGAACACCACAGCTGGGGGTGAGGGCAGCACCACAGGGACACTGTCACTTCCCCCTGTGAGGCCTTGATTAAGTCACTGATGCAGTCATCTCTCTGGACATCCCGTTCATGCCTCAGCAGATGAGCGAGTACTAGTAGTCTGCCCACGAGGACTCTCATGTGAGGTCAGTCGGGATAGGGCCCGGCACAGGGCACGCATGCCTCCGTGGGCTGCACTCGGACTCGGCGTCCGGTGGGCCAAGGGTTGCCCTGACCCCAGCCCCCAGCAGGTTCTGCAGGAAGAAATAATGGGCGACCCCACACTCCTTGGCACAGCCTGTCACCAGGGTGCGGAGCTCGTGAATGCCGGCAGTCAGAGCTAGAGAGGAGGGGCGGGCACCGGGGAGGGAGCCGCAGGCACAGGTGTCTCCCTCGGCTGGGGCCACAGCCACGCGAAACAGTGTGGTGACCCTTCTTTCCTTAAAAAAAAATGGATGATATAATGGTGGTGTGTATGTTTGTGTACAGATTGAGAGAGGAACTTTAAAGGAGTGCTCTCCACCCCTCGGCACGGTGCAGCATGTCCTCGGTCTTTGGGCAGATGGGTACGTCCTGGCCCTCCCCACGTAAGGGCCGCCATTTCTGTCTTTGCAGGGAGCAGAGTTCTCTGCTTGCCTCAGCTTCTTCTTTCTCCGTTTGTCAGTCCCACCCCTTTTCAGAAGGCGTGTCTTTGCCAAAAGACCCCAGTATGTTATAGGCCACATTAGCCAGACGGCTGGATTGGACAGAAACCCTCGCCACGTCTGCTGTGGGGATGAGGATGCCCAGCCAGTCTGTGGCAGGGCCCGGTGCGGCTGTGACCAATCCATTGGTGGTGGAGCCTCGGCAGGCTGGGGGCTCAACGTAGGCAGAGGCACGGGGTGGGGGGGCTGGATTCTTTTTGATTCGTACCCTCCACAGCCTGGAGGCCAGTGTGCATCCTTCTTTCCCCCTGTCCTCTTCCTGTCTCTTCTCCTGGCTGTCTGTCTCTCTTCTCCAGGATGTGTGGAACCTGCTCTGGGCCAGCACTAGCAAGGCAAAGTCCCTGTCCTTATAGAGCTCACAGTCAGGAGAGGAGACAGGTGACAGACTAGGTTGCATGAGACGTTCTGGGCACTAAGGGAGCATCTGAGCCGGAGCCCTGATTAAGCCTTGGCAGGGCAGTCACGGCACCCTCCCTGATGAAGTGGTGCTTCAGCTGAAACCTGAGCGCTCAGTAAGAGTTAGCAGGCGGTGAGGTTGGAGCGAGGACAGTGGTCTGGGCAGGGACAATGGTGTGTAAAAACCATGTAGTGGATTGCTTTTTCAGAGAGATGGCCCCAACAATATCTCCTGGTCCATGGTAAGACCTCGACACTCCTCTTGAATCTGGGTGGGTGGGTGACTTGCTTGTAACCAACGGAACGCAATGGGGTGGCATTACCGGAGTTCCAAGGCTGGATGAGCACAGGCAGCACAGCTCCTGCCTCGAGCACTGGGATGCTGTCCTTTGGAGCCCTGAGCCAGGCCTGAGTCGGAAAAATCCAGCTACCCAGGAGCTGCCACGCAGAGCCTGTCTGACACATAGATCCCAGCCAACAGCCAGCATCAACCCCAGACACATGAGGAGAGATACCTCTTGATGGTCTCAGCCCCTAGCCATCGAGTTCCCCACAGCTAGAGTCTTCCTGCCGAGGCCTCAGACACCAGGAGCAAAGACAGGCCATCCCACTGGTTCGTATCTGAACTCTTCATCACAGAACCCAGGGGGATGAGGAAGTGGTGGTTTTAGGCCTCTGAGTTTGGGCCGTAGTTTGTTGCACAGCCTTAGTAACTGGAGCAGACCCGGAGGTGAGAGCCAGTGCATGGAGTTCTCTCAAGGGTCTGGGAGGTACATTTGGCTGAGGGGAGAGGGGAGCAGGGCAGAACACGAGGCCTTGTGAGAGATGGGGCTTTACCCCAAGGACAGCAGAAGCCGTTGAAAGGTTGAAAGCATGGCAGTGTTCTGACTTGCTTTTACTTTGAACGTCCCCATTAACTGTCGAGTGCAGCCCGGATCAATGGGAACTCCAGGCACGTCGTCTGGAGCTCCTGGGAGACGGTCACAGCATCCTGGTAGGAGAGGCCGTGGCATCACCAGGTCAGGGGCAGGGGCGTTCCTTGGACTTCCTCTCTCTCTGGAACAGGGACAGCCTGAGACCCCTGCAAACAAATCTGCTTTCACAATTCAACGTTCCCAGGACCTCATCAAGAGGGGGTGGAGCACAGGTGGCCCCGCTCTGTCCATCTTTGTATGACCTCTGCCCTTTTGGTGGCCTCGGACAGTCGAGTGTGCAGCTGGGGAGTGTGAGCCAGAGAAGCAAGCTCTAATTCTACCACTCGGTAGCTCTGAGCCCCACTTTGCTCACCTGTAAAGTGGAGATGATCCAAGGTGTGGCCGCCGGGAGTGCCGGTTTTGTTGGGCCCAGTGCCCTGGGGTGAGTAACTCCTGCGTGGCTGACTGGCGGAGGGCACAGAGCCATGGCGTAGAGTCTAACAGACCTTCACTGACGGGGCAGTCTTCTGATTCTCTTTCAGACTTCGTCTCCTCATTTTTAAAAAACGCATGCTAAGATTCCTCAGGGTCCGTGCGAGGATTAAGATAAGGCTCCTGAAGCACTCGGCACAGTGCCCCGCACAGGGTGGGCGTGCTCTTCCCTCCCCCGCCTGCTCCCCATGCTCACCCAGAGCATTGCAGTCCAGTGCCTACCTTGACTGCTCCTGGGTCTCGGAATCCACCTGCCCTTCTGTGGGAGCACTAGTCCCGCGTTCCCACCAGCCCGAGGGACCAAACTGTCAAGTGACTAAAATATTTAAGGAGGAGACAGGTTTCATTTTCCTCATTAGAGCTTTGGTCAGGATGAAAAATGTCTGATGTCTACATGGCGGCAGCGTACAAAGAGCCCTAATGGTGTCTGACCGTTTGCATAGATGATCTCCTGTATTCCCAGGCCGTAGCCCTTCCTGACAGTTGCAGTGTTGTTGTTGTTGTTGGCAACGCCGGGGTGTTGAACCTACCATGTAAGTGGCGATGCGGGGGCGAGTGCATGGGTGCTGTCACTGTGCGCTCCTAAGGGAGTGCTTGGGAGGGGAGGAACAGCATGTCAAGCTTCACAGGTCCCACATTAACTTTTGTTCCTCCTGGAACTTGTTAAATGCCTTTCCATTGCCTCTGGCCTTTGCTGTTTCCGTGCAGAAGTCAGTTTTCTTCCTTATTGTTGCTCCTGTGTACGTGGCAGGTCATTTCCCCTCTGGCTTCTTTTGAGAGATCGCTGTGTCTTTGATTTTTAGTGGTTTGACTGTGCTCCGAGTAGGTGTGGTTTTCTTGGTATTTATTCTGTGTAGGCTTCACTGAGCTTCTTAGATTGATGGGTTGATGTTTTTCACTGAATTTGGTCATGTACGGGGACTTTTTTGCCCATTATTCCTTCAAATACTTTTTGTGCCCAATTCTCTCTCCCCTCCCGTCCCCTTCTGGAATTTCATTTACACACTAGGTGTTGTCCCACTGGTCTCCGTATTTATTTATTTTTATCTTTCTTCACTCTGTTCTTCAGTTTTGATCATTTCTATTACCTGTCTTCAACTTTGCAGATCTTTTCTCCTACAGTATCTGATCTGCTATTAATTTCATCCAAAATAAGTTTTATGCTAGGTACTTTATTTTTTTGTTCCTAGAATTTACCTAGGTTTATCTTTATAGGTCTATTTCTCTTCTGAGATTCTCTATCCATTTATTTATTCTATTCTTCATTTTCTGAAAATCCTGTGTATATTTATCACAGCCCTTTTAAAATCCATGTTTACTAATTCCTACATCTGGTTCATTGGTGGGTCCGATTTTATTGAGTGTTACTTCTCTTGACTGTGTCACACTTTTCTCCTCTTTTTTACATTTTTATATTTTAATTGTATATTGGACATTTTGGATGATACGTCAAAAAGACTGTATATTTGATTGTCTTCCTCTAAAGAACGCTGTGTTTTATTCTAGCTGGTAGTCAAATTACTGTCATAACCACTTGAGATTGTCAAGGCTTTGTTTTCAGGTTTTATTCAGGTAGGTTTATTTTGGCTTTGCCCATAGCCCTGTGGTATAACCCTTAGTACTGGGTTTATTTGCAAGGCATGGTTCTTCTAGAATTAAATCAAAAGTCGTAAATGTTTACTCAGCCCCTTTAATTTAGCAGAACTTGTACTCCAGATTCCAGGCAGTTGTCGAACTCTGCCTCCCTGCCCCTGCTTTTGTCAGGGAGCTTTGGGGCTTCTTAGAGTCTCTATCTATGCATGTACAACGTAGGGGCTGACTAAGGATTTGGGGGGTGGAATTTGTACAGCAATTTGGAGCTTGCCCTCTGTGGTCCCCTCGTATCGGGCATTTCCCTCTTCGTTGTTTATCCTCCGTGTCTGACCTCTGCGCCTTCTTCCCAGACAACAGTATCACTGCTCTCAGTTTTAGTTTTGTTCTCCCACATGTCACCGTAAACT